CAAGAGTGAACTTATTAATAATGATAAAAAATAATGATAACGATGGCAATAATGACGACAACAATAATTTAAATGACTAGGACCTGTACGCAATATCAACGTCACTGTGGATTCAGACGAAACAATAATAGATATATAGGATATACACAAACACACACACACACACACATATATATATATATGTATATATATATATATACATCTAAATATATACATATATATATTATATATACATATATATACATATATACATATATATACACATATGAACATATATATATATGCATATATTTATATATATATATCAGTGTGGATATATATACATATATATATATATATATTTATATATATATACAGATATATACATATATATACACACATAGGTACATACATATATATATACACACATACACATATATATGTATTTATATTTATATATATGTAAATATATATATATATATGCATATATATACGTATATATATACAGATATATAGGATATACACTAATATCTATATACACTGTTACGACCCAATTGGCCGAGGCCGAAACCACCTCACAGGTTCTCAATAAAGCAATACGCCAAACTAAAGTAATTCAACAGGATTTTTATTTAACATAATCATGCATCCCTTATAAATAACTAGAAATTGCGAAGTACAACTGCATATAAATGTTCTTCGAACAAAATTATTTATGCGAGTCAAGTGAAAATAATGAATAATAAAAATATAACAAATAATATGAGACACGACCCGGTTTGTCTATATTGGAACACTTCTCATTGGGTAACAAAGTCGTAATTTTTTATTTTTGTCAAAAAGTGTCTATAGTGGTGAATTATGGTTTAGGTTTTTTTTTAAATAAATTTTCAAAAATTTCTATGTATGTGGAAAATTTAGTTGATTACCAAAAGTTACAATTTTTATTTTGAAGACTGCATGGTCTAGGAAGTGTACATTTTTTTATGGGGCAAGTTTCCAAGGGCGGGTTTTCTAGGGGCGAGTTGACTGCCAAGAGTGTTGCCAAAGTGCAAGCCAGCGTGTTATTTTGATCACAAGTGCGAGACATCGCAAGTGTGAGCCAGCGAGCCATGACGTCACGACAATAGATACGAGACGTTACTCGAGTTGTGAGATAAGTTTCCTGGTAGGCTTGGGTAGGTAAGACTTAGCCAAGGTATATGGGTTATATCATAGCAAGATTCACATTTTATTAATTAGTGGTTGCACTAAACTTTTTTGTGTTTGCCTTTTTTTTTATTAATTGTATTTTGATGTATTGAAGTGCAATATATAATAACACGAAAGAAGGAAACTCCGCTTTTCAGTCGTCTTAGGCCCTTGTTTTTTGACAAACAATGACCTTTCAGAGGTCAAATTGCTGTCAAGAATATGAATTGGCTGCTTTGCAGCAATAATATTGAAAACTAAAATAAGTTTTATAAAAGCTGCGTCTTCTACACGACTCCCGTCGTATCGTCGCTAACTTGCTTTTGTGTGGCGTTTGGAATGTTCACATACGACAACCAGTTCCGCATTCCCTGCAACTATTTTCGAATATTCAAATTCTCCGCTGTAAACCAACACAGCATAACGCATATCCAACAAAATAAATAGTTCTCACGTTAATAACTCAATAAGGTAAACGAGGCAGGAAACAGGCCACTTTTTTGGTCCTTATCCATTTACATTCGCCTAGCCTAACTTTTGCTTTCCAACCCTATTCTCCCCATATCCTTTGTCATTCCTCTCCTATCGCCTTCTACCGCTTCTCCTGCCGCACCCCATTTTGCATATTCATCACTGTCTCTTATACACATCTAGATGTGTATAAGAGACAGCTATATACACTGTTACGACCCAATTGGCCGAGGCCGAAACCACCTCACAGGTTCTCAATAAAGCAATACGCCAAACTAAAGTAATGAAATAAAACAATAGCAGATGAACTGAATACAGATCATTTCGGTCGCGCTTCGTTTCGGTCGCAATTTCGGTCGCGGTTTGTTTTCAACAAATATATGGAGCGCCAATTGAGTTGCGAAAACGCTAAATTTAATATAACTAGGTCGATTAACGAACTACGATAATTGTCATTGTAAGTTCGTCAATCGGTTTATCATACTTTTTTTTATTTATGTTTTGTTGTCTTTCTACTAAGTAACAAAAGAGGTTACTTAAAAGCGAATAAAATGAATACTATTATTAATAAACTAACTTTTTAATATTATGGTATTTATAGGTTATTTTCCAGTTTGTTGCATTCCTAGTACCATTTTACTCTTTTACCGGACGGTTTTTATTTTCGTTTTGTTATCGATCCTACGCTTCCTACTACATAACAAATACAGCAAATAAAATGAATACTAAAAATCTGGTATTTCTCCCTTAATACGGTATTATTTTTTGATATGATATTATTTATAAAAATCAAAAATTTTATCAGGAAAAACCAGCCAATTCGTTAATACATTAAATTAATGTAACATTAGTTTATTAACAATTATTTTTATTAGTAAGTTTATTATTGTTACTATATTACTGTATAACTTGGTGCTATATTTCTTTTTTACAGAAACAACGCAGATGTTACGAAGTTGACCGAGTTTGAGATTTTTTGACGTTTTTTTTTTCTTGCGATATATATTGATATAATTTTTATTATTAATGCTTAAATCAAATAAAAATTTATGGAATAAGTACAATCAATAGATTAGATTCGCATACGTTTTTTTCTTGTCTAACGTTTCCATTTACCATAAATGTTCTGATCATGTTTATAATAATATTGTAAAGGAAATATGTATTTCCATATTTATATTTTCCATATAAAATTATCACTACATTGGTAATTGCATGCGGTACATTTTAAAAGCCTTTTCATGCTTCTGTTATATTCATAAGCCCGAGAAAATCACTCAACTTGCTAGGCCTATTTCTTTAGTTGCATAATTGGAGTATAATTGTGGAAAGAAACGTTTCCACATATTTATTGCCATGGTACACAGACGAAGATGACACAAGGTTAGTGATTTCTTGCTTGTTTTATTTCCATTTTTGATACATTATTGCAAAGACAGAAGTAGGTCAGACGCTAAAATAGACGACTAGCTATTTCTAGGGACAAACACGTGCGCTGAAGCGCAGGTCACCACTTCACGTGTGTTCACCTACTTCATGAAACCAGTAACTTCGAATCGTCTACGCTGGCTGCTGATCATGTTTATAAAATGCAAAAATAAATGGATAATAAAGTATATATTTGTTATATGATTTCATGTGTAATGTAAATTAATATGTATAAATTATATATAATAATATGTGTATAAATATATATACATATATATATATATGTATGTATATATAGGCATATATATATAGACAAAAAAGGTACATAAGGTACATATACAGTGTTTAATTCCTCTCTTTGTATGTTTTATTTAAACTTTGGAAGCTGCAAGAAAAATGAATAAATTCATTGTATAAAGATCATGTTAAATATGTGTAATGATTATTGTTTTAACTAAATTATGAAATAAATTTCAGATGGTAACAATATTCAATTCAATTAAAATCAAAGATACATTTTATTGACCATAATTATTAAAGTATAGTATATGAAAACGCAACAAAAAGAATAGCATGAAGCACATTCTAAATTCCATTGTTTCAATTACAAGATCATGTTGCAATCATGAATATATCACCGTAAATGGAAGAAAGAGAATATAGCAGAAAGATATGTTTGTGGAAAAATAGCAAAACAAAAATACTTAGGCCTATGATAAACCGATTCACGAACTAATTATGACAACATATAGGGCCTAGGCATATTAAATTTTTCGTTTTCGCAACTCCTTCGGCGCTCCATATATTTGTTCGAAATAAACCGCGACCGAAATGAGGCGGGGCCGAAACGAAGCGCGACAGAAACGAAGCGCGACCGAAATGATCGGCTACCGATGAACTTGGTTACTTCATATCTTTAATCGCTACAAATCTGTTTCATATGACCACACAGGGCCACACTCATCAGGCGAATTGTAAAACATGAATGACACCATATCCCAGGGTTTATAACTTAAATGGCTAATCAGAAAGTCGAACTAAATTACTATGTTACAAAGCATATTGTTTATTGGTGTGATCCAGGGATTATAATTTAAATGGCTAATCAGGAAGTCGGACTGTTTATTATGTTATAGAGGCCTAGTTCACTGTTGCATATCTGTTGCTAATTAAATATTTCTTTCTATGACGACAAGCTGACACTAACTCATTCTTGCTATTGAGTGAGCATAGTTCTGGATGACATATAATTAAATACTTTTCATAATAAACAAAAATTACAGCGCTTAGTCGTGTTTGAATATGGCTTACAGTGTTTCATAATTCTCCACTTAACAGTAAATTCTACGTTAGATTCCTTAAGGGACCAGATATAT